AATTGTACTTAAGTACAGTAACGAAGTACTTGTACTTCGTTACTTCCCACCACTGTCTTGGACCTTGTTGTGGCAGAACTATTTCATCTGATATATTCTGTGTAAGGTTTTCTTACTTGTACTAGCTTGCTAGTATAAGCTAGTAAGGAGTAGCTTGCTAGCTAGCAAGTACTATAGCAGCTTGTTACCGGTGACTTTAATCGCCACCAGCAAAGGAAAAAATAATCGAAATCCTGGACCACTCACTTTGCAACTTCCAGGACCCAAAATATTGTGGTTATTGATGACCAAACGGGTCATCTTTGGTGTCAAATGAGTAAAATTTTATGCCATATTCTTTCAGTTCAAGTTCCTCCACAGTAACAACAGGCACCAAATCCTAGACTGTCTTCTAAATTGATCAGTGAGGGGGGGAGGGATGTCTTAATCTAGTCCTCAAGGGTCCTGTATGTTTTAGATGCTCCTCTGACTCAACATCTGAATTTGATGAATAGTTTATTACCAGGCCTCTGAAGAACTTGATGACTTAATGAGGAGGTAATTCAGCCATTAATTTAGCGATATTGGAGCAAGAACACATCTATAACAGGGGACCAGCTCCTGAGAACAGAAATTGGGTTTAGAGACTGGCTATGGCCCTAGATAGGTTACCAGGCATCCACTCACACCTGACACAGATCAACTTAAACATGTTTTTAGACGATAAAAGGAAGTATGCACTGGGAAAACATGCAAATATTACACAGAAAGAATCCAGTTGGTGCTGGATCCCTTCGTGCTATTGTTCAGTCCAACCCAGGCCTGGTTGAGTATTATTATATGTTCTTGAATGTAATTGATACAAGCTGTTTCTATATGCATTGTTTTACCTGCCAAATGTATGCAGGCAGTCCTTAAAAATGTGTTAGCAGCTAAGCCAGGTCTGGTGCATATTGTTGCACCCTCTAAACCCACTAAACAAGTAAGTCCGCTTAACACACACTTCCATTACAGCATAACACAACAATGCTCCTCCCTGCCCGGTGCCGAGCGTGCCAGAGGGGAACGAGACGAGGGAGGAGAGGACGGAGAGCCATAAGGGAGGCAGATTAGAGAGCCGACGGGCCTCTGGGGAGGAGACAGAAGAATAAGAAGAGGAAGATGAAACACGTAAGGAGTGCAGAGGAGGAGGTAGCTGTTGGTTAATAGCATCTGACTGAGATTACACCGCCACTGGGTTTACCTGATTACAGCTCAGAGCTGGAGGACGATTCAAAAAAGCAAAGAAAAACAAACTTGCACACATTCCGACAGCACAGGAATCCACGGGGAAGGCGCGGCGAAGCAGCAGCTGCAACAGCCTGGACAGATGCAGACATCATAGGGGAATGTTCTGGATTAAATAAGGCAGTGGTTCTGAAACGGCATGTTCAAAGATCCCAGTATCATTGCTCACAGGTCCAAGGCTCAGAACAATAATGACAAACAAATCCTTTTTATTGAATTTGCTGACAACTTCCAAGTAAAACTAATGTCAAAGCAGATGAGGTAAAACTTAAACATAACCACAGACGGTTCGGATATAATCACATCCCAGTGTTAGTGTGGTTATGAGTATTTGACTCTGCTGCTGATATCACCACTAAGCACAACCCAACCCACATTACAAACTCTGCTTGGTAATTATTGATGACTCGTGTTTAAGGCTGAGGCCTTCCTGTCCGTCTTCAGTTTACAGTCATCTGTACAATGTTATTCCAACTTATTGCTTAAAATTACCTATTTGATTTTGTTTGTTTGTGTTTTTAGAATATTTAAAATAAAATTAAAATACGTAAGCCAAATGCAATCTGACACTATTGATTGGTGTTTGCAAAGAAACCAATCAAACCAGGATTATTTATTTTCCTTAACACTGATTGGCAGCAGCAATATTTTAGAACATTTTAGAACATTTTAGAATATATTCTAAATATTCTTTTAGAATATTTCTTTGTCTAAAAGAAGAAATATGGAATAATATAGATAGACAGTTTCCGCTGTGCGTATTAATGCATATAAAGGTATATTTGTTGCTTATGCTGTTTAAAAAGGCAGATTAAATGTTTCTTGCAGAAAATCTCAGGTATTTGTTTTATTTAGACAGATTTAGAATAAATCACACATGACCATCTTCTACAATAATTAGCATTTTAACCTGTTGGTCTCAGGTTGTCATTCACAATGACAGGGGTGTCAAACTCCAGTCCTCAAGGCCCGCTGTCCTGCAGTGTTTAGATGTGCCACAGGTAAAAAACAGTGGAATGAAATGGCTTAATTACCTCCTCCCTGTGTAGATCGGTTCTCCTGAGCCTTGCTAATGACCTAATTATTCTTTTCAGGTGTGGTGCAGCAGAGGAACATCTAAAAGTTGCAGGACAGCGGCCCTTGAGGACTGGAGTTTGACACCCCTGTCACTAGAGGACCCAAATTTGGGTCCTCTAGTGACAGACAGGTTAAGCATCTATTCCAACATTCAGAGTAAAAATTGACTTAATGTTCAACCGAGGTCTCTGTGCGTGTCGTACTTTAAGAATCCCTGGAATAAGGTGTGCATGTTGTGGTTGCAACAGGGATGACTGAAAACATCAGACGTATTATTTCTCCAAAGCTGTTCCTCCTTTCAGGGCTCCAGAGCAATCAGTGATTGTTTCATGTAACACACAGTGTCTCCTCTCTCAAGCTTTCCTCTTGATCTATGTTTCATGCTTTTGACTGGGGCGCATGAGACTCAGCCAGCAGTCGAGTCGCAGAAATATCCAGGCCTTACAGGACGACGAGGAGGAGTTAATTAATCACCAGAGTCTCAGTTTCCTGTTACCTCATAATCTTGACCATAAAAAAAAGAGCTAGATAATAGAAATAATAAACAAAAACAGTTATATTTCCAACAATGTTTAAATAAATGACCGGCCCTATCACATTTATGTAAGGATTACTCCGGGGTTCCAGGATGTTTTCCAGACAAAGCGCAGCCATCTGAGGACTTTGTCTTCTTCGTTTTCAGAGAAACGGGGATAAATAGTTCTAAAGATTTTCTCATATTTTATTTGTAAGCTCCAGCCCTACTTTCAGCTGTTCCATTTCCTCTAAATGCCTTACTGATGAACAAAAACACATCATCGTGCATTGTGAATCAATCCCCCTGTTAGTAATCATCTTGGGTTGGGTCCTTTATTAGAGTTATCACTTTTTTTTTTCACCACATCTTGAGAGAAAAAAGGAATTTGAGCTCCTCGCCCAAGAGAGACAGTGCAGAGTCGATTAGTCATTTTCTGTGAACATCATTTGTATTAATAACAAGTGGGATTGCGCCTACAGCTGTGCCTCAGCTCACGTCCCTGTGATGAATGCTTTATTGGTTTGGGTCCAATATTTCTTGAATATTATTATTGGTGTATGTGTTTTATATTGATTTCCTGCAGTCATGGGTTTCATTGCTTATGGCAGCTCCTTTTGATCCATACAGAAGTGCAGGGAAATAATTTAGAGCTGAAAGAAGTTAACATAGTTACGTTCACATGAGCACAATATGTTGCTGTAGGGCCTTTTAGTGGTGACACGCTGCGGTGAGAAACAGCAGCAGTCCACAACATCAATACACAAACTTGTTTCCGTCTGCATCCACTTCAGTCTGTGAAATTGCTACACGGCCTACGGGAATCCTTCAGTGGGGTCCCCGCAGAGCCGCAGCTGGACGTGAGTCAGAGAGGGAGGCAGATGCACGATGCAAAGAGAAAGTAGGAGGTGGAGGGGAGTCAGTCAAAAGTTGGGAAATGTGGCCTCTGAATAATCAACGCCCAAATCAATTTGTTCAACGTCCAAGAGAAGCGGGTGGACTACAGAGGAATGTGTTGAGTGGGCGGTCGCTCGGTGCGTCCAAGTCCATATCTCAGACAAACACGCAACAGCCAGAGAGGCTGTCGGAGTGTGGAGAGAGATGGCCAGGAGGGATGGGACCGAGCAGAGGGCCCACTCACACAAACACTGCTTTACTTGAAGCTTCTCTTATTCCACTCATTTTTAGATAGACTGCATGCACACAAATTTACATTTTTTTAATCAAAGAGTTTTCTGTGTCCTTTCAGACTTTCTACATTTTTATCTGTAACTACTTGTTCAACTTAGCAGCATGAAAAGAACTGCCATATGGTCTGCAGAAACAACCTGGATTTGCCTAAAGGAAGCATAAACATCCTCAACTGTTTAATGCGTTAAAGCCGCAGTATGTAACTTTTATTTAAAAATATGTTGCTTTCATATTTGTTAAAACTATCCATACATCGTGACAGCCTGGTATGAGACAGGAAATCCATGAAAAACAATGAAGTTCTTCCACCTTTCAGTGCAACCTGAAGAAATGCACAGCTCCCAGTCAAAAACAACCAATCAGAGTGCTGTGGAGTGTTTTAACGCTGTCAATCAACCTTGTGCGTACGCTGCCAAATGTGCAAATGGCAGAGAAACACCTTACTGTTACAGGAAAACTGTTTATCTGCCATCCTCAGTAGCCATGCTAACTAGCCTGGGCATTCATGTCAGGCTCTGCTATCAGGGAGAAGCTGTAGCTTAGCAGAGAACATGAAGGGTGTGAGCAGCATCTACACAAGCATGATCGACAGCACTAAGATCCTCCTGGTTCTGATGTTTCGTTTCTGTTTTTCTGCAGTTGCCTTTGGGAGAAGAGAGAACCTAGATTTTATTACTATTATTATTCTGTGCTTTAACTTTCCAACACAAATTTCTTACTCATTTAACTACCACAGACCTTTGCTATTAGTCCTATTCTGTCATAAAAAAAATGAAAACCTGCCAGGAAAAATTCCCTGGATTCAGTGGAACGTGTTTCCTGGAGATCTGGCCTGCAGGCAGCAGCTGGCCCGCTGCGCCCAGATCAGTAAAGGCAGTCGTTTTATGACCCCGCCTCTCCGCATTTTGATTTTAATACACCGTTCTTCTCCACGCCGTTTTTAATGTTTCTTTTAGCATCCAACAAATTTTTCTTCACTTTCATTTACATTCTTATGGTGTCCTGCTTCCCAGAACACTACAGATGTAAATTTTCTCCTCTTTACTAATATTGTTTTGTTAGTGTTGGTCTAACGTGGGAGGAAGGAACAAAATGTTCAAACCATTTTTTTTCTTTTGCATTTCTGCTAATTTAAATGAAGGTTTGTTGAGTCCTCTGGAAATTAAAGATTTATAAGAATAAAAGCACCAGTTAACTAACGATGAGAAATTTTATTACCACCAAAGAAAAATAATAGAAAATTAAAACATAAGCCACATTCCACTTGGTAATAATGTGAAACCATGAAGGATCACTGAGGGGGATTTAGACCCAAAGATTCAGGAAAATTGTGGCTGAAAAACTAGCATTGTTTATTATTACAGGATGTGTTATTTTTCTGCAGGCTATGGCAAGGCAAAGGTAAAAGACAGTAATGAAAATGTGGGAGAGGCTGGCAGAGAAGACTGGGGGGTGAGGAGAGAAAAGAGAAAACAAACTGAACCCAGACAGAGAGAAACGAGTGAGTAAGGAAGAGAAGAAGTGTGAGTGGCAGGTGACTGTGCAGGACTATCTGGGCTCAGACCGTTCAGATCCCCTGACATTTACAGAGTGGCCGATCGCTCTTTGCCATCCTCCTCTTGAAAAGTTCAAACGCACAAACATCCACAGAGGAAAATGTTACGCTGTGTGGATTAACGCTCTCTCTCTCTCTCTCTCTCTCTCTCTCTCTCTCTCTCTCTGTGTCTCTCTCTCTCTCTCTCCCTCTCTCTCTCTCACATCGCTCCCCTCCATCCTGCGCGTGCTGCAGCTGTCACTCTGTACGTTTTCATGTTGGACTGGTTTTAGGTTTGTCTCCCAGCTTTGTTTGAATTTTAAGCAACAAATCAGTTCATGGTGTTGAAACTAGATAGAAAAACTGCTGTGTCTAGTCACCTGGATGGCTTAGGCAGGCTGGCAAGTAGGAGAACAAGGTCACAGTCTTTAAGGCTCTACAGCTCTAATTTCTTTCTTTTTTTAAAAATTTCTAATTTCTATGTTATATTAATATGCTAGATCAGAGGGTACCAAAGTCCAATCCTTAAGAGCGACCATCCTCCAACGTTTAGATTCCTTCTCCGGCACACCTGAATCAAATGAATGGCTTGTCGCCAGGCCTTCATTCTGCTTCATCTTTGCTGTAGCTGTTAACTCACATCTGACCAAAACATCAAAATCAGGTTGCAAAAAATTGATTTGTTACTTTTGAGCCTCCAGACTATATTTTTAAGTTGAAAGCAAAAAGAAGCATTTTGTCGAGACAAGAATAATCGATATTAGGTCCCACAAAGACTGTGCATAAAGCCTGAACTGTTCCTGTGCACACTCATACAGCAGTCATCACATTCTCACCTTAGAGGGAAAATGTTCCAGAGACGAAAGTTTTGTCTCTGAAAAAGGCAGGACACATTGTTTGCTGTTAAATGGCACCAGAGTGAACTGCACTGAGTTCAGTCTTAATACGTACATTTCAAAATCGCGGTGTGCCACTCATGCACATCACTGCAAGTGACGTTCTAGAAAAAGTATAAAAGAATGGTCATTTCAGGCCAAGACTGAACTGACCGTTATTTCTTTGGACATGTTTGATACAATACAGGCTAGTTATACCCCAGTGTTGATCATGCAGACAGCTGCACACTGTCAGAAGCCCAGATTTAACCTATGTATAAAGGTAAAATGTTACTGGTAAAAATCACAGCATAATGTATTATAAAAACAACAATAACAATAAAAAAAGTTGAATAACACTGGAAAGCCTATTTTCAATTCACAAATAAACTGAAAGTTTATGTTAAGTATTAACCAGGAGAGAAACCTTTGATAGCACCTGGTTGAAATAACAACTCAAGAATAAATATTACCTCCTTTCTCTGATTATCAGGCCAGCTTTGGTGCTTGAACTTTCTGCGACCACCTCAGTTGCACCAAAGAGAATCTTCCTGCAGAGATGATGGTGGGCCTGCCCTGCTCGTCACCTCTTAATCAGACTGTTGGCACTGGCTGCCCAGAATTGGATCAACCTTTGCGACCCGTGCTTCTGCGCTGCTTCCAGAGGTCAGCCTCACATCTCTGCACCGTCTCTGAGGCAGCTGCAGGCTCTCCTGTATGAAATCTAATTTCTTCCTTTTCCTTCTGTTTTTATCTCTTGCTGGTTTCTTTTATTAACCCAGATGTGATCTTTCGCAGCTCATACTTGAATTACTAGAGCTTCACCACCCTTCCCTCTTCCTGGGCTGTGCCAGAGCTTTGAATTTCACATTTTAGTCACATTTAGACATGATTTACTGTCTGACAGTCAATATTACTGAGACCTATATTTTTGATGCCTGATTGAGAACTAAGCTGTTCTTTTGAGCATAGGTGCAGAGCGCTTGTGAGCATAGTTACCTTGATTAGATTCGATTGCAGGACAGCTGCAGTGTAAACAACACTGATTGCACATTGTCTGCAGGAACTCTTACTTAGTGTCCAAGATTAGGGTATGTCTCTGTCCGAGAGCTGTAAACAATGATAATCAAGAAATGGAATAAATAAACCAAACAGCTGCAACGTTTTTCTGAGATGATTACAGACCCTGACTTTAATAGAGTGTCAGGCCACCTCTGATTACAGCACACACTTCAGTAGTTCAACAAAACAACATTTACATTTCTAAACGGATGCTTTGTAGATGTTTGAGCTTGAACTGATTATCCTAAATCTGAACTTCTTTATAAGGTTTTATGCAGGTCAATCATAAAACTATAGTGAGTTCATGCTCTGCGGCGTCCATTCTTTCTCTAAGAATGACGTTAAATGCAATTTCACAATTAGTTGTAGCTTAAATTAGCTTTACATTTATTTAAACCATACCATTCCAACTCTGGTGGTGACAGCCAAACTGAGCAAAGTCTCTCTTTGTGAACTCTTGCACATTTCTTCATACTTCCATAAAGTAACCGACCATTGCACAGGTTTACCATGAGAGTCAGTCTGCAGCCATCAACAATGAGTATATTTTTACCACCACACACACAAACGTCCACTTCCCTCATTCCCAGCTTGGAGCCATATCCAATATCTGGCCTGACTGGGTTGTCCTGAATCATCCCCTCAGGTATGTAAGCTCTTCATTAAAGCCGTGGCAATCAGAGAGGCAGAAAGTACAGCTCCTCGTAAAGAGAATGGATCACTTCCCCATCTTCCGCAGTAAGCTGTTTGCAAGAGTAGACACCCTCCTCCATTTTCATTAGCGACCTGACTACTATATATTCTCCATATAATTGAGGTTGAAACCTTCTGCTCTGTAATGGGTCTTTCCATAACAATCTTTTAAAAGTGAAAGCCTGCCATCCTCGGGTGATGTGAGATATGAGTTTGGGTTGTGTGTGTGTGCGTATAGGTGTGTGTGTGTGTGTTGTTATCAGGAAAATTACTAATAGTCATTTTCTTTTTAAGCCACTTTTCAAAGGCAGCTTTAAGTAAACAAAGTTTTTTCCCCAGTGTCTGAGACACAATGTGTGAAAAATAAAAGACAGAAATGAATAGTCACAGTCACATAGTCAAAGTCCTGGACTTTTCATGGAGGTTTGATCTTTTTCGTGTACAGCTGATGAATTTTGATTAGTGCAATTTGACAAATTGAGCTTTTTCTTGTGAAATCTGTTTTCATGCAGACAAGTTGAAACATTTTCCAGACTCTGCTTCATTTGCTGCTTTTATGTTGCTTTTAATGTTTCAACCTTTAAAGATATTTTATGCCTGCTGTTGTTTTATGATAAGAAGTTTGTGCAAGAAGCAGATTACAGTGTTTACGATTATTTTATGAACAACAAGCCCCTTTATAGACCTAAATGAAAGCAATAATAACCAGGTTTCAGCATGTGGGCAGGTGTTGATGCATTAATGCACAGTCTCACAAAAGTACTCCTCCCGTTTTGTTGCTTTTCAGCCACAACATTCACTGAATTTTATTTAGTTTGAGAGACTAATAGCTACAAGGTGGGATGGAAAATGGATGGATGGAGGGATGATAGACTGACAAAAAGTCATGTGAAAGGAAATATGGATGACATTTATGTTTTGTTTATTACAAATACATAAAAAATCTAAAAATGTGGCTTCGAATTGCAATTAACCTCCATTTCTTTGGTTGCCCTTAAACAAATTCAGTGCAACCAGTTGCATTCAGAGGTCACCGATTTAGCAGAGCACTCTTCAGTCCGTTATCCTGAAGGGGCCTTATTGTGCTTCCCTGAACAGGTTAGGATAGGTCTATGGCAGGGGTGGCCAAGTCCAGTCCTCGAGAGCCACCATCCTGCAAGTTTTAGAAGTATCCTTACTCCAACAGACCGGGATCAGCTCTACAGAGGCCTGATAACGAGCCAGTCATTTGATTCAGGTGTGTTGAAGCAGGGATGCATCTGAAACTTGCAGGGTGGTGGCTCTCGAGGACTGGACTTGGCCACCCCTGGTCTATGGGCAAAACAAAACAAGTTCAGAAATTGTTTGCATGTAATTTCCGTCTGGTCAGTTCTGCATATTGTCAGAATGAGCTGGTTTAGATTCTCTCATCACTTTAAATCCAAATAAGATGCTGCTTGTACGTGCAAGTCATTTTTCCCAAAAATACTCTATATATAGTGACGTAGGGGAGCTGAAAAGAAATGCACACCACACTTTTGAGATTTTTCTCTGTGAAACATTTTCATAAACCAATGTCCAGTTATGAATTACTTTGTGTTGCTCTATCACATAAAATACCATTAAAATACATTGAAGTTTTCTGTTGCAGTTCCACACAGAGTGAGTAAAGTCATAAAAAAGCAGCAACTTTAATCTGCAGATCTTAAATGCATGTGTCACGTTTTCCCATTGACTTCAGTCAGATCTGAGGAAAACTGATTAAATGGAGCTCCAGTTATAAAGAGAAGTCAAGACGGTCAATGTTAAAATGAGCTCAAACAGTTAAGAAAATGTCAGTACTGAAAAAAATTAATAAAAAATTGCACCTTCCTGCCTATTAGCCTATCAGCTCGCACCATCAAACCCACTTCCAGCCAGGAGAGGAGTGGGGCTACCTGTTAGTCTGGGTGATTTGTGGTCATGTATAAATTGGAAGCTGCAGTCTGAGTCAAAGCAGAGCCATAAATAGAGGAAGGAGACGACGACAGCGCCGAGACAGATTCCAACAGAACTGATGGAAAGCAGTGTGATGCAGATGAGGAACACTTTCTTGATAACTGTGGTGAAAACACATCTTTCTGCTGCCTCCGAGCCAAAGAGGAAAAGGCCAACGCAACGCATCTACAGAAAGATGGAGATTTTCACAGAAGATGTTTTACTTCATTTGCTGCTTCATAAGGTGTTGGATTTATAAATAAGTAATTAGAAAAAAACTCAAAAAAGTCTTTCTCAAAAGAGTCTTCAGCTGTTTTTTAATGGACAGTTTATTTAAATTGTGACCCTCTTTTATGGTCATGACAAAACAGAGACACACACACACACTCATACCTAAGGACAATTTAGAGTAACAAATTAACCAATCAGACCACAAGTACTGATTTTGGACCAGATGTGAAGAAGCTTGAGTACAGCTGGGCATTCACTGTATCATTTATCATCATGATTAATCATTATCATGATGAATTTATGGTAAATTAAAAAACAAAACTCAATAAATATTTTAGTCCATATTGACCACCACCCACAGCCTGAGTACCAGTGTTCACACAGGCATGATTGACAGCACTAAGACCCGCCTCCTGGCTCTGACTGGTTGAGAGAAGGCGGAGGAGCTCAAGTTTTTCACAAATATGTAAAGCTACATACTGCAGTTGTAAGAATAGGAACACGTAGCTTATGCAGCTTGTTCAGTGGCCTAGTCAAAGTGTGAACCTAACTACAGCAAATTCTGCCCCAGCAGTATAAAACAGTCATTGCCAGTCATGTTTTCTCTTTTGGTATTGCTGCTGGCACACAGATCTTTACTTTTCTTTGCAGCTGTTGTTTTGTGTTTTTATGTGAAAGCTGTGGCAGCTTTAATATCCCTCTGGAATTAATAATGTTTTATTCTAATTGAATCATGTTGTTTACCGCAATTACTTTGGGGGCAATATGTCTGAGAAAAGATCTGCCCCGAATTCTTATTTATGAGTTTTTGGTCAACTGCATCATTCATAGTCAATGCAGCCGAAACGCAGATGGTCAGGATGTGGATCCTTAGAAAGCTGCTGGGAAACTCCAGAGATTTTAGTCAGCTCCACTTAGATCTGCATATTTAATGTGTCTCAGGTTGTTGAGTCAGGGTTTGAAAGAAATACTGTTTGACAGAGCTAAAAATGAAAAGAAAATGTAATGAAATGTTTAAGCGTGAGCAGCAACAAGTTGGGAGTTGAAAAAACCCTGTATTTCAAAGCCATCTTCATGTTTGTTACTGCAGATGAAAATCTCAGTGTTTTTCTAAGCAAATCAATGAATTAATTCATAAAAGTTCAGTTGGGTGCTGCTCCTTCTGGTGTCTTACCTGGGTCTGTTCACACAGAGGCTAAAAATGGAAAATGGATGCCACCCAGGAAAAAGTTGAACATGTGAAATGCTGACTCAGTCCAGGGTTCGTCAGGTCATTCTCACTTCTGTGCAACATACTGTCTGTGCCTGCCTTATTTAATGCACACATGTGAATACATTACTCTCCCATGTGTGCATCTAAAATGTATGAATTCATAGCGTGCATGATATTGTGTGTGTAAGGTCCCTGGGTTGAGTGTGCATGTACTGTGATGTGATAATGCATCAACATCTGACATCTGTGTCAGCTTGGTGTGTGTGTGTGCACACATGTGTGTGTGTGTGTGTGTGCACAAGAGGAGCTGCACAACCCAGCCCACCAGAGGACCATTAGAGTGAGAGTGTTTGAGAGAATAATAAATTCGAGCTGGGCGGAGAGAAGAGAGGCTGCGACCACCAATCGATTCCTCTGCTGTTTCTCAAATGAAGAGGGAGGGATGAGCATGAGAGACGGAGTGAAAGACAGACGGAGACGGAGATTCTGGGGTTTCTGAAGCAGGCGGTGGAAAGTTTCGTCATGACAGAACTGAGAGTGGAGAACAAGGATGGTGTGATTTGCAGAGTGAGACGGGAGGAGACAGGAAGACGGTGCAGCAGGGTAGAGGGGAAGTGAGTGGAGTGAAAGACGGCCAAACGATCAGTCCAATTAAGAGCCGTCCCTGTGGAGGCAACTGTCCCTGTTCTCTGCTGCCAACGCTGCACAGCTTCAGCTTCCAAGGACATCGTTTTCGACATGCGTCTCAAATCGCACAAACCTCATTGCAAATTCGTTACATGTATTTTTTTTTCATTTTACATTAGTGCACATGAATTCATCAGTGCTCAGGTAACGCCTTAAGAGGCTCGTCCAGGAAACAGACGCTTTTTCATGTACACTTATGATCGCACATTCCTCATGAGGCGCGCAGCCTCGGGGGTTTGGGGACGAAGTGGTGCCAAAGATGGCTGGCGCCACCA